AGAATAGTGCAACAATGAATGAGTGGAAGCCCAAAATCTCTGTAAATGTTTATGAAAATTAATAAGATATAATTATAGAAAAAGAAAAAAAAAGAAGATGCTGTCGGGGCATCCCACTGAGGCAAACGTCGTGGAAGGAAGGACTCTCAGGTCTCCTACTGCACAAGGGTCCCGGATGGCCAGGGGCTCACCCACTCAGATTACAGAACACAGGAGAGCCTCCCAAGTGGCCTCAGAAGATGCAGCAGGACACCTGCAAGCCTAAAATAATGTTTGTGTCTGAGAAAAATACCCAAGATGAGGCAAAGGCAATACAGACCAATTCACCTCAATAAAGAACTTGAAGTGGCAAAACCCAGACACCTCATGAGGTGCCCAGTGGGGAAGGGCAGAGGGAACTACTGAGTGGGGAGACAGCTGGAGAAGTAAGCAGGGATGAGGCGCTCAGGGACAAGGTCAATGCGTTATAGGGGACTGGAAGGTTGGTCATGTGAATCCACAACAGAAAGGCCTGGCATTTTCGTTTATTGGGCAGTTCTCTGTCACATGTGTCACTGTGAGGCTGAATCCACTCAGCTGCACCTAACAATAATCAGTGTTTAAAGATTCCGGAGGAGCGCCTGGGCTGTGCCCAAAGGTCAGGAAAGTTCTGTGAACCCAGGGGTGTCTAAGAACAACGGGCTGGCAACCTACTTCCCAAAGCTCAGCCCTGAAACCCTCCAGGGCACAGCTCTCCTCTGATGCACATGGGGTCCCCCAAGAGTTAAGATCAACTCAGTGACAAGTTTCTTCTACAAGTTCCCAGAGGAGAACAGCTAAGATGGCCCCCGCAGGGACAGCATGAGGCCTCCTGGGCCCTGGAGCGGCCAGGCCGTGAGCGCCAGCGGCCGTAGCTGTCGTGTGGGCGGCTCAGGCGGCCTCACTCCTTGAGGGAGAAGTGCATCTTGTCATTGATCATCTTGCGCTCGGGGTTGAGGCGCTTGAGGATCTGGGCCAGCACGTTCACCGTCTGCTCGCTGCTCAGCCCCGTCTTCTTGGTCTGGAACTTCTTCAGCAGGTCTTTGGTGGTCATGGGCTTGCGGGTCAGGTAGCGGCGCACGGCGTCCTCTGTCACCTGCACGTCACTGGGGAGGGAAGGCCAGGAGGCAGGTCAGCGAAGGCCACCCTGCGCCTGCCCACCCCCGCCTGCCCATCCGACCCCAGCGCCCTCCTACCCGACCCCAGCAGTGCCCTCCCCAACCTACCTGCTGCTGGGCGTCGACTTCCCGGACTGGGGCTGTGGAGTGGACTTCCCCGACAGACTCTGGGGCCCGGCCTCCATCCGGAGCCGCTTGGTGGCGGGGGTGTCACTGCTCCGTTTGCCTGTGGAAGTGAGTCAGATGAGGCCAACGTTAGGCCGGCACTGCAGGATGATGGGTACTGTGCAGGGTCAGCAGGACAGACTGCAGTCCCGTCCACTCAGTGCCCCTCCCATGTGAACAAGCACATCCTGTCCACAGGGGTGACAAGAACCCAAGGCACAGGATGAGGACCCTTGGCAGACCGTAGACGCTGCCTGTGGCTGACAATTCGGGAACTCAAGAAAGAGATGCCCCTCTGGACACAGACTAGGACAGGGAGCAGGAGAACAAGGCTTCAGCATGAGAGAGTGGGGACCGAGAGGGGCCACAGTGAGGGGTCCAGAGCTGGGAGGCCTGGGAGAGGCATGGCCTGTTGTGAAGCAGGGCCTTAGATGGGCAGGCCTAGGGGGTTTGGGGGATGAGAAGGGCCCAGGAGAGGCAGGATCTTGGGTGAGGCGGCATGTGGGACACAGGCCTGGGGGATTTGGAGGATAAGGGGGCCCCAGGAGAGGCAGAACCTTGGGGGGAAGCCTAGGGGGTTTGGGGGATGAGAGGGGCCCAAGAGAGGCAGGATCTTGGGTGAGGCGGCATGTGGGACACAGGCCTGGGGGATTTGGAGGATAAGGGGGCCCCAGGAGAGGCAGGACCTTGGGTGAGGCAGCATGGAGGGAGCAGGCCTGGGGGATTTGGAGGCTAAGAGGGCTCCAGGAGAGGTAGGAACTTGGGGGGAC